TTTTTTCCTGCTTTCCATTTGCTTGGTAAATTTTCCTCCATCCCTTTATTTTGAGCCTATGTGTGTCTTTGCAAATGAGATGGGTCTCCTAAATACAGCACATCCTTGGGTCTTGACTCTTTATCCAATTTGCCTGTGTCTTTTAATTGGGGCATTTAGCCCATGTACATTCAAGGTTAGTATTGTTATGTGTGAGTTTGATCCTGTCATCATGATGCTATCTACACACTAGTTGATGAAGCTTCTTCATAGTGTCATTGATCTTCATATTTTCATGTGTTTTTGCAGTGGCTGGTACTGGGTTGTTTTCCTTTCCATATTTAGTGCTTCCTTCAGGAGCTCTTTCAAGGCAGGCCTGGTGATGATGAAATCCCTCAGCATTTGCTTGTCTGGAAAGGATTTTATTTCTCCTTTGCCTATGAAGCTTTGTTTGGCTGGTTATGAAATTCTGGGTTGAAAATTCTTTTCTTTAAGAATGCGAATATTGGCCCCCAATCTCTTCTGGCTTGTAGGGTTTCTGCTAAGACATCTGCTGTTAGTCTGATGGGCTTCCCTTTGTAGGTGACCTGGCCCTTAGGCTGCCCTTAACATTTTTTCCCATCATTTTGACCTTGGTGAATCTGAGGATTATGTGTCTTGGGGTTAATCTTCTTGTGGAGTCTCTTAGTGGTGTTCTCTGTATTTCCTGAATTTGCATGTTGGCCTCTCTTGCTAGATTGGGGAAGTTTTCTTGGATAATATCTTGAAGTGTGTTTTCCAGCTTGTTTCCATTCTCCCCATCTCCTTCGGGTACTCCTATCAATCGTAGGTTTGATCTTTTTACATTGTCCTATATTTCTTGGAGGCTTTGTCATTCAGTTTCATTCTTTTTTCTCTAATCTTTTCTGCATGTCTTTTATTTCAGCAAGGTGGTCTTCAAACTCTGATATCCTTTCTTCCACTTGGTTGATTTGACTGTTGATACTTATGTATGCTTCACAAAGTTCTAGTGCTGTTTTTTTCACCTCCATCAGGTCATTTGTGTTCCACTCTAAACTGGTTATTCTAACTAGCAGCTCCTTTAACCTTTTATCAAGGTTCTTAGATTCTTTGCTTTGGGTTACAACATGCTCCATTAGCTCAGTAGAGATTTTTATTGCCCATCTCCCGAAGCCTGCTTCTGTCAATTTGTCCATCTCATCTTCCATCCAGTTCTGTGCCCTTGCTGGAGAGAGACTGCGATTGTTTGGAGGAGGGGCACTTTGGGTCTTCAGCATTTTTTCATTGATTCTTTCTCATCTTCATGAGTTCGTCTAGTTTTGATCTTTGAGGCTGCTGACGCTTGGATGGAGATTTTGTGGGGACTTTTTTTGTTGTTGATGCTGTTGTTGTTGCTTTCTGTTTGTTTTTCTTTCAGTGGTGAGGTCCCCCTTCTATAAGGCTGCTGTGTTTTGCTGGGGGTTCACTTCAGGTCCTATTCATCTGGTTGGCTCCTGTGCCTGGAGATGTCACTCAGGGAGGCTGGAAAGCAGCAAAGATGGTTGCCTTCTTCTTCTTCTGGGATCTCTGACCTCGAGGGGCACCAACCTGATGCCAGTAGGATCACTCCTGTATAGGGTGTCTGACAACTCCTGTTGGAAGGTCTCACCCCGTTGGGTGGCATGGGGAACAGGACTTGTTTAATGAAGCACTTTGACTGTCTCTTGGTGGAGAGGGTATGCTTTGTTGTGGGAGAGCCCGCTCATCTGGGCTGCCCGGATTCCTCAGAACTCCTAGGAGGAAAGGCTAAGTCTATTGGTCCATAGAGACTGCAGCCATCCCTCCCTCTAGGGGCTCAGGCCCAGGGAGATGAGGGTTCTGTCCCTGAGCCTCTGGCTAGAGTTGTTGGAGTTCTTGCAGGGAGGCCCTGCCCATTGAGGAAGGATGGGTCTGGGTTAGGCCTAAAGAGGTGCTCTGGCTACAGTGTGCACAGTGGTGTGTTGGGTTGTGGGGGACACCTCTTGGGACTGAGCAGTCCAGCCTCCCTGGCTCCAGCAGGGGAAAAGTGTGGCCTGGAGCTATAGAGATGGATGCTGCCCTTCCCCCATCCAGGGAGCTTTGTGTGTTAGGCAGTTCTGAGTCTCAGTACTGGCTGCTGCCCCTCCCACAAAGGAGCTCAAAGGGCTTAAGAGAACAGGCAGTTGCAGGTGTGATGCTGGTCACCCCTCCCCCTGGGAACTCAGCAGGCTTAAGCAGATTCTAGCTGAGAGGCTGTTGAGAATCTGCATGGCTCTGGGGTTGGGACCCAAGGTCTCGGTGGTGTGGGTTTGCGAGTGGGATCTTCCTATTCGTGGGTTGCAGAGTTTTGTGGAAAAAGTGCTGTTTCCCCAACTGGGTAGCACGCTCACTCACTGCCTCCCTTGGCTGGGGGGTGGGGGCTCCGTTGCCCCAAGTGGCTCTCAGGTGGGCTGCTGCGCCACGCTGCTCTTCCTTACTCTCCATGGATCACGCCAGCCACCTAGTCAGTTCTGATGAGAACCTGGATACCTTGGTTGCTGGTGTAGGATTCACATGGTATTATGGTTCTTTTCAAATGGAGCCTCTGATCTCTGCTGCTTCTAGTTGGCCATCTCGGCCCCACTCCCGCTCTTTTTCCATCTCTTTGTCTACTGTTGTAGTTTCTGGGAGGTTTTCTCAACTTCACTTTCCAAGACTTCTACTGGGGTTTTCATTTCTGTTGTATTATTAATTTCCAAAGGGCTCTGTTTTTCTTCTTTGAATATTTTAAAATACATTGTTTTCTTTTTAATACATACAGTATTTTCTCTGAGGATATTAATGATAGTTTTTAAAAGAGTTGATCTTCTTGTGTAGTCTCTGCTTTCTCTAATTTTTCCTCTGCATGTTTGTTGTCTTTTTTATTATTCATGTTACAGGCTTTCCTCACAAGGTATCTTGTTACCTTGATTGTCTGCTGGTAATTAAGAAGAGCATCAAAAAGCTCATAATAAAATTCAGATCATATGAGGGGAATATTTTGGGGAATATGGAATCTCTTATAATAGACTTGCTTACTCTGCCTGCTTGGGAATCTCTCCCAAGTGATACCTGCTTTCCACAGATTCCCTCCTTTCCCCACATCTAAATCACAGATTATGTGCCCCAGATTGTTTTTCAGCAGTTCCAAGGTTTTAAAAATTGTTTCTATTTTGAGAAATTGGTGAATGAAAGCAGCCAGATGCTCCCTGACCACCAAAAGAGTACATACTGTAGGATTCTATTTATATAAAATTCTAGAAAAAGCAAACGAATCCATAGTGTTAGAAAACAGATTAGTGGTTGCCCAATGTCAGGGGAGGAGGAAGAAATGGATTCCAAAAGGGCCTGAGGACACTATTAAGAGTGATAGAAATGTTCATTGTCTTGATTTTGGTAAAAGTTTAATGAGTGTATACATCTGTGAGAACTCATTACATTGTACCCTTTAAATATGTGCAGTTTATTGTATATCAATTATACCACAATAAAATTTTAACAAAAAGAGAGAGGAAAAAAGCTCATTTGAAGTTCTATGTTGCCATTCATGGGTTTCATCATAGTTTGAAGATTGTACCATTTCACTGTGGAACTCCTGATATCAGTATCTTCAGACCTTCTCTGTTAGACTGGCTGGAATCCTGAGAAGGGGTTTAGGTCCCCTGGTTGAAGGATTCAGCTTGACTGATAGTATCCTGGAATGTAAGGTGGGCTGGAGTCTGGGAAAGGGAGATGAGATTGAATTTTCACATTTAATGTAGGGGCTTTTTAGTTAATGCTCATGTTTTTGGTACAGTAAGTTTGTCCCTCAATTGTTTTTGGTTTCTCCAGTCCTGAGATTTCCACTTTTATCCTCTTTAGAGCATTGATTCTCAACGTATGGTTTGTGGACCCCTAGGGGATCCTTGAGACTTTTTCAGGGGGTCAGCAAGATGATAGCTGTTTTTATAATAACACCAAGACTGTATTTGCCCCTTCCATTCTCATTCAGGTGTGTACAGTGAAGTTTTTCAGAGGCTACATGATATCATAAGAGATTGAATGCAGAAACAGACAGTAGATCAGCTATCTTCTACTAAGCCAGGTATTAATGAGATTTGAAAAATATAAAATAATGCCACTCTTCTAGCTAACGTTTTTTTGATTTGGGAAATAAAGTTGTTTTTCAGAAAATATTTATATTAATGTGGAATGGGTTTATTATTGTTATTTTTGAAGTGAATTAATAAGTGAATATTTTAAATACTTTGGTTTTAATTTATCATATGACAA